AAATTTTAAATTTCCATTGATTCTAATTTGTCTGAGAGTAAATTATACAATTAAAAAAAAAATTAGATTTAATTTTTCTGGATAAAAGGGTCAATTCTGGATGTTTGGAGATGAAACTGTTCTAAATAAATACAGGAATTTAACCAAAATCATTGAACAATATGAAATTTATGTTTTTAGTTAAGATTTATAACATTGATAATATTGTTTTAGATTTTCTAATAATTGGAATTAACACTTTTTGCGAATTGCTTGATTGGATAGATATCAATAAATACCACTTCATAGTTCGCGGATTTTGAATAACTGGAATGAAATGACAGAAGCGTATCTACTTTAAAGATCAAACTTGTACCGTTGTGAACTTATGTCCGGCTGTAGATTGCTGGAAATATTTAGAATTATGTTACAATCCCTGATTTTGTTAAATTTCTAGAGAAAAAGCGAACAAAGCATTTATTTTGAGGTGAGTGATTTTAGACTAGAAAAGTTATCTTCTTTATCTTCTTTTTTATGTTTTATTTTTAATGTATAATTTCTTATTACATCTCTTGTTGTTAAATAATTATTAACATCATGTTTGTCCCTGAAGTCGAAATGAGGAGAAAAATTACCTGAGCCAAGAAGAAGAGATGCAAGTTTTAGGATACTTTGAGGCTAAACTAGCTGAGTTCTGCACTAAGTTCAAGGTCAATATCCTAGTTTTATACAATATTAATTCAGATATAAATCCATATCCAAATTTTATAACACTCCATAATAATCACATTTTCATTTCCTTTAATCTTTGAAAAACTTTTAATGTTTAATCCGATTAAAAAAAAAAATGCCAGCCAGGTGTTATGAGGTCATAATGAAGCTGGTGGACTGCTTTTGTAGCCGCTTAACACTGGGCTACACTGTTGTAGTTAACGGTGACAAGAAGTAGGGACAGAAAATAGATTTAATACCTATTTTGTGTCCAATTTCAAAGAGCCAGCCTAAATTTGTCTTATGTCTTATTGAACAAAAACCCCAATTTGCGGGACTTTCTTTTGTCTTTTTTTCAGCCACCAATGCCAAAAGCCGTTAAGGGTACAGCGTTTCATTATTTTAAGGAATCAAATCCAATTGTTTTAATATCAAAATTCTAAATAGTAAATTTTATTTCGTCCTTTTTTCTTTGTTTTTTTTCTCTGTACAAGTAAAGAAATATTGCAATTTCCTGCCATTTAGTTTGCCCAAATTTATCGCCATTTTGTTTAATAATTGGTTTGGTTTGGTGTACAGCGTTTCTACCTGAAGAATTCTATAATGGATTATCACCCTAAGGAGATTCTGGTCACATCAGTTTATCTAGGCATTTTTATAATTATTTAAGAAGAAATTATCCCTTGATGAATTAATTAAATGTTTTTGTTTTATCATTGAATAAATCACAACGATTGTTAGATTAATTGTTTTTTAAAATAGACCAAAACCCCATTAGTACTGCTTCATAATTATTATAATGATTTGTTTCCAGCAACTAAAGTTGAAGAATTCAATGTATCTATAACCCAGTTTGTTGCGAATGTACAGGTAATGAAATATATTTATTTTCTTTATTTAGATGATTTTTAATTTGGTCAGTTGGTTTAAAACGGCTGAACCGATTGCTTCATTTTTGTTTTATTTTTAGGGAAACCAAGAAAGAGCCACAAAGATTATTTTAAACAACGAACTTCTTCTGCTTAAAGAACTTAACTTCAATCTCACAATTCATAATCCTTTCAGGTATCATCAAGCAAGGTCTTTAATGTTGTAAATATCTAATTAAATAATTTGCACTATTTAATGATTTCTGATAATTTAGGGCCGTAGAAGGACTCCTTATTGACTTGTAAGTACATTAGATTTATTAAACAACATTTAACTTGATAAATCTTAATTTTTTTGGGGCCATTCCAGAAACAGATCTAGTTTCTTTATATACATAGTTTTATTCTAAAACATTCTCTGATTTCACTTTTTTAAATTGTTTAGGAAAACAAGATGTAGTTATTTGGAAAACGTTGATTCATTTAGACCTGATATTGATACATTCCTAGATCAGGTAAGCACTTGTTTATTTAATCTTTGTTTTAAAGCATTACATCTTTTTGATATAAAGGTTTTCCTGACTGATGCTGTCCTTATCTATGCCCCCGCACAGATCGCTCTGGCCGCCATTATCCACGCGGCATCCAGGTAAAGATTTGGCGGGAAAATATGTGCCTGTTAAAAATTGTTTTAACCTTGGTTTTACAGGCAGAAACAGAATCTAGACAGCTATGTAACAGACCTGCTGTTCAAGGGGCAGGGAACCAATGCCATCAGAACCATTGTCACATGCGTCAGACAGGTGAAAGAACTTATTCCTTTTAAATTAAATCTAAAATCCTATGATCAATTGAATGGTTAATTTAGATCCGGATTCTAGTAAAGGAAGTGAAAGAGCCAGTTAAAGGAATCAAAGCTCTTTGTGAGAAGCTTGAAGCCTGCAGAAACCAGGTTTTTTTCCTTAGATTTATTGTTAAAAATAAAATTTCATAGATTTAAATAGAAAATGGAAATTCAATCAAATCATGTAAAAGCAGCTTACAACATAGGCTTAATCACATGTTATATGTTTTCGTTTTTGTCTGAAGGCATTTCAATATTTCAACTCTGAAATCCCTCCATGGTTTCCTCTCTGCTTGCCCCTGTATCATTTGAGAGAACTGGTTGCTTCAAATCCTGTTAATAATAGTTCTCTGCTTTATTAAACACTAGCTTGGAAACCCGACTTTGCCTGGAAACTAAACTTTATCTATTTATGTCAATCCACTCAACTTGTTCTTGGTATTTAACTTTTAAACCAAAATATGAACAAAAACAGATATTACTTCTTGTTCTTGATATTTAACTTTTAAACCAAAATAAGAACAAAGAACAGATATTACTTCTTGTTCTTGATATTTAACTTTTAAACCAAAATAAGAACAAAGAACAGATATTACTTCTTGTTCTTGATATTTATTTGTGCCTCATTTTAAAACCCAAGTTTTTGTTCAATTATTTAAATTTGTTCTTGCTGTAGGACAATAACCCTGATAGTGCTGCGTATAAGCGTAAACTAGAAGAACTAATTGATGAAGATGATGCGCTACTCGAGGAACCTGTGGCAAAATCTTTCAGGTTAGTCAATATTAAGAAAACTTGTTTTTGAATTCAGAATTTTCGGGTTGTGAAGCTTGAGATCAAGCATTGATCTCCATCTTATGCAGATAAACGGATGAATTTAATTCATCTTCGATATGTGGTGGTCATATCCTGAAAGTGTAGAGATGACTCTAGTTGAGCAATCTCGGATTTTCTCCCAAATTTATAAGTGCATTCGTTGGATATCGAGACCAAGGGTTCAAGAATAAAATTACTACAAACAAAAAGTTCCTACATCGGATTGTATTTCTGAAAGCTTTATAAAAACAATGAAAAGTAACTTTAACTTGAAAGCTTTCCTTAAAACAATTAAACTTTCCCTTCTTTCAAAGATCATATTTTTTCTTCAAAAAATCTTCCATTTAATCAAAGAACTACAAATCAAGGTTGTAAACCTGCCATTTGACGAAAATGGTTAGGTGACAATAGTGCAGGTTAGAGTTAGTTCAGATGAAAAAAAATTGACTAATTATTTATTTAGGATGGATTCGGATATAGGAGTAAAGGTGTTATCCCCTGGAGCAAACTAAATCATCAATCAAATATTAAGAAAGAACCGTATTCTCATCAACTATGATCTTCTACTAGTATTCTTTTATTTATTATAGTATAAGAAATTGTTCAATGTTCACCTGTTTGTAAACAAAATAATCTGAGTTTTAGAAATTGAATCAAAATGTTCTCACGGGTTAGATTGATCAACATTATCTGTTGAAATCGCGTCCACGGTTGTATAAGCTGAGCAATGCTCCTAATTTTTAAAATTCGGATATATTGAGTATTTAAACTGGTAAATAATACCTTTAAACGTGATACTTTGATACCAATTTGACTTTCGTATTTATTAATGAATAATTATTTCAGAAAATGCGGGAAAATGTCTGAAATTTTACAAAAAACCTTTAACGTTCTTGTTGGTTCTGGGGAGGGGGTAGGATGGGGGTCTCCCACCTCTTCCAACCCGCACTCCCTATCTGGTTCCCTTGCTGCCACCCTGCGCCAGCTCGCCCTGGCACCCCTCAAGGAGGAAAAGGAACTGTGCAGGGTTCAGGTTAGGTTTTCCCATCTTTCATTTACAAATTAAACTCTAGATCATTTTTTTCAAACGACGTGATGTGGGGATTCCTTTTTTTCAAAACAGTGCAGCTTTAAGATCGACTAATGAAATGTAGCTATCTTCCATACAATAAAACAAGACATTCATATATATGTTGCCTATAGCCGGCCAAACGGCTGGACCGATTGGGCTGAAATTTTGTGTGGGCACTCATGAGTAGCCGGGGGTGCTATAGGCTAAAAAAAATCGAATTTATTTTTTGTTATTAAAAAAATCTTTCAAATTTTCAATTTCTTTACAAAAATTTTTTTTTCACGGGCAACGCCGAGCCCTCCAGCTAGTTATTTCTATATTAGATTGAGAACTGTGTATCTATCCTGTCTAACCCTGAAACATCTCCATCTACTACAGCTGAATGCCTGGTAAAGGGCATGTTTATACAACTGATGGGACAGGTTAGCTACAACATGTTTAGATAATCAAGGTTTCAGCGACCTCTCCAATTAAAAAAATTGGTTCCGTGGGAAATGCAGGAATAATTTAATTTAAAACATAAACTGTACACAGTATATCAAACTGTACAGTGTACACAGTAGATCAAACTGTACACTTGTACACTGTACAGTGTACACTGTAAATCAAGCTGTATGCTGTAAATCAAACTGTACACTGTAAATGAAACTATACACTGTAAATCTTAACTGTACACTGTAAATATTAACTTTATACTGTAAAACAAACTCTACACAGTACACTGTAAATCAAACTGTACACTGTAAATCAAACTGTACGCTGTAAATCAAACTGTACACAGTCAATCAAAACTGTACACTGTAAATCAACCCGTACACTGTAAATCAAACTGTACACTGTAAGTCAATCTGTACACTGTAAATCAAACTCTACACTGCAAATTTAACTGTGCGCTGTAAATAAAACTTTACATTGTAAATCAAACTGTACACTGTAAGTCAATCTGTACACTGTAAATCAAACTCTACACTGTAAATTTAACTGTGCGGTGTAAATCAAACTTTACATTGTAAATCAAACTGTACACTGTAAATCAAACTGTAAACTGTAAATTAAACTATACACTATACATTGTAATTTTAACAGTACACTAGTACACTAGTACACTGTAAACTGTACACTGTTAACTGTACAGGATGCATCCGGTCTACAGATCTACGCTGTAAAGATGGCACAAGCGTCATCACTTTTACACAGGAAACTTGGATACCTTGCATCATCTATACTTATACCTAACTCAAGGTTAGATAAATACCAGACAGATCGACAGGTTGACAGGTTGACAGATCGACAAATCGACCGATTGACAGATAGAAAATAGAATCTAGTTGTATTTTAGTGAGTTGTTACTACTTCTAACTTAACCGTATTTTAGTGAGTTGTTACTTCTTCTAACGTAACTGTATTTTAGTGAGTTGTTACTACTTCTAACGTAAATGTATTTTAGTGAGTTGTTACTACTTCTAACGTAACTGTATTTTAGTTAGTGTTACTTCTGTTAACTAACTGTATTTTAGTGTGTTGTTACTAAACTGCTTTCTAATTATATATTAGTGAGTTGTTACTTCTGGTATCTATTCGTATTTTAGTTAGTTGTTACTACTGCTAATTTATTGAATTTTAGTAAGTTGCTACTACTGCTACAAACTTGTTATTTTGTGAGTTGCTACTACTGCTAACTAACTGCATTTCAGTGAGTTGTTACTATTCTGTTTTCTAATTATATTTTAGTTAGTTGTTACTGCTGGTATCTTTTTGTATTTTAGTGAGTTGTTACTATTGCAAATTTTTTGCATTTTAGTGAGTTGCTACTTCTGCTAACTAACTGTATTTTAGTGAGTTGTTACTACTGCTATCTAACTGTATTTTAGTGAGTTGCTACAACTGCTAACTAACTGTATTTTAGTGGGTTGTTACTACTGCTTTCTAATTTTATTCTAGTGAATTTTTACTGCTGGAATCTATTTGTATTTTAGTGAGTTGTTACTACTGCTAACTCATGGCATTTTAGTGAGTTGTTAAAAATGCTATAAACTTGTATTTTAGTGAGTTGTTACTACTGCTAACTAACTGTATTTTAGTGAGTTGTTACTACTGCTAACTAACTGTGTTATGCGGGATATCTGTAGTAAAAGTGTCCCCAGTATTCTAACAGGTATTAAATGTCCCAAAAGAAAATATGAAACAGTTTTAAAAACACCACGGTTTTTATTTCTCATGAATTGAGAACAAAACTTAGACAATTTAAAATTTTAACAAGTTATTGTGAGAACGAATAGGAACAAGCAACCATTTATTTTTCAAAAAAGAGAGTGACATGTTTGATTCACAACGGTTGTTAATTTCCCATATTATCGCTAAAGCATAAAGGCTCAAGTTACTTTAAAGAGAAACCACAATAAAAAATAATCAATTTTTAACTCTGAAAATAAGAATGTTTCTTTCATTTCAAGATTGCCGTTGTGAATCAGACTTGTCACTCAACAAATGGATTGAAATTACGTCTCCATTTCCTGTAATGTTTTCATTGTTAGCGAATTGAATTTTTGCAATAAAATAAACGTAAAATATGTTAAATAAAATTTTCTTTTTGTGACCTGAGATGCTTTTATTAGAAAAAAACCAAACGGTTTCGGCTGTTTAATCTTGATGACTGAATAATTTTGGGCTGATTGTATTACCTTGTGCACTGGTGCAGACAACGTTTCCTTGAAGGAGTGCCCTGATTTTATTTATTTTCACCCGTTTATTAGGTTTGATAGCAGCCTGCAATCTTATCTGTGATAACTCAATCCTCTCTTTACTAACAGATAAGGTAACTCACTTTCTCTAGGTAGTTTAACTCTAATCCTTAATTAAACCATTTCGATGATTGCATGGACAAACTTCGGTCATCCTATGAGATTGAGAATCATGAAATTCGTATGAAGGGGGAAGAGTGGACGTCCCCCTCCATGGAAAACTAAAAATTAGGAGCGCATAACGAGAGAGTATGCACCCTCTAATCTTTTCATTTGGATTTTTAAGCCGACGCTTAATTGAAACCGGATTTTGGCGGATTTTAGACGCGGTTAAAATCATTAAATTCGGACTCAGAGCTGAAAACTTAAGATGAGATATCCTTAGTCACGATCACGATTGATTTTCTTCTTAATCCTCTTTTGGGATATTTCTACTGTATAAAAGTTACGTTGATAACAATTACAGATACAATGCTATATCGATTGGACTAATATCCGATTGAATTAAAGTCAGCTGTTCACAAACCGGCTTTTAGAGTATTTAAACAAATATAAATTTGATCATGTTAATATGAAATTATTAAAAAGTACCTCTTAACATGACTCGCTGATTGGTTAAATTTTTAACTTCTTGGATATTGAATGCGTTTTAAAATAATCTTGGGTTTAGTAAAACCAGGAGTTTAAGCATTAATACGTACAATGTACATAATTCTACAGAATCCCTGTATTATCTACATTCAAATTTGTAGATTATTTGTACAGATTTTTACATGATCTTTTTCTTTTCAATAAATTTCTATAACATAAAAATTTGAGACATTCGCTGCAGTGTTTTTATCACACCCTTTTTCTTCTGTATTAACTTCTTGATACTTTTTCGTCGGGAATCAATGATGTATGAATTGTCTTTTTGTTTTAAAAATTCAACATTTTCTTAATTTTTCATCATCTTCAGTATATCACTTTGTGCGGATTAATATTACATCTTATCTTTGATTTTTTTAGCTAATTTTGAGTTATTACAAAGTACTAAATTCTTAAAGATGTTTCTAAAGAAGCATTTTTGTTTTAAATTTACGGTTGTACCAGGTTATACAGTTGGTGAACTACAAGAACCATCTAGTTAGGAACAAGGCCTTGATAACCTTGGATAGGTTCTGCTACATCAGGGAGCTTATCATTTATTTTTTTTTCGCCCTTTTTGATAATTTTTTAGTTTTTCTGGCTGGAATTTTTTATTCGTGTAATTTCTCCATTGTTACTTAAAGGGAGTGACCGGCAATGTATGGTAGTTGAACTGAGAATGTAGTATTTTGGAGAATTTTTTTTAGAGATCATTTGAGACCTATGAGAGGTTTTTTTAGTGCATATTTGTTCAGCAAGAGTGTAAATTTAATCTTTAAAATCCCTACAGATTGTTTATTTTTGAGAGATGATTTTGAGAATGGGTTTTAATAAATAATTCAAGAACGAAAACGAAAAAGTAATAAAATTTCTACAATAAACTAATACGTTATTCAGGAACAGTTTGAGAAAATAAAAGTTAACTTTTATCATCGAAAATAAGTAATCTTATTCATTTATTGGTTTCTGTAATGTCTCAATGTTCACAAACATTTTCTGTAGAATTTTTATTGAAAAGACGACATTTTAAAAATTTGAAGAAATCTGCGAAAAAATTCATAAAGAATAACAAATATAATGACGAAAATTAAATAATTGATTTTCAAATTGATCTATTTGATCAAACATCTATTTAGCTGTAAATTTTTTTTACATTTTTGGTCATCGCTATTTAATAATTTTTAAAAAATCCATTTTTAAAACGCAACCACCCAAATGAATGATTTTGAACGTCGAGTTTGCGCTTAAGCTCAGTAATTATAGATAATTAAAACGTTTAATGTCTCAAATGAATCCTAAAACATTTCTCCACAATATTACATTCCAAGCAAAAAATGCGGTAGTCATTTCCACAAATGAAAATAATCATTTTAATTTTTCAAGATGAAGATTTTAAGGGTAGTTCTGTTAATCGGACATGTCCTCTTTAAACATAGGGTAATCTGAAATTATGCATTGCTTACAGTCCCTTTAAGTTGTTCATCCGTCAATAACAGGGTTTCACCTCATCGGAGAAGGTCCAATACAAAAGTTTAACATTTTTTAAATTATTATTTGTAGGCCGGATCCCGAGATTGGATTGGTCGGATTAAGTCCTGTACTGCATGTACATCAACAAATAATAGAGAATAGACTTCCTAAAGATTTTACGTACAGGTATATTTACATTTCCTAAAGATTTTACGTACAGGTATATTTACATTTCATTATTTTATGTACAGGTATATTTACATTTCATTATTTTATGTACAGGTATATTTACATTTCTATATTTTATGTACAGGTATATTTACATTTCAATATTTTATGTATAGAGGTTAAAGAAGTGGAAAATTTACTAAAACTAAAGTTTTTAATATTTCATATTTCAATTTTGACAAGAATTTTCTTGAAAAGCTTAATTATCGACGAATTAAATACATTTGAAGCAATAATACATTAAAGATTAACAATTAACAATTAACATAAAAACCTTGAAATTAAGTAAAATTAATTTTGTTTAAAATCTTTTTTTCTTAATTTCTTTTTCTTAACTCACTAGCGGTTTCGGTGACTTATACGTCCCCTATAAGTTATTTTACATAAAACTCATCTATTTTCCTCAATTTTGATGTTTTCTCTGCGGGAGTCATCATAAGATACAGTAAACAATATGGGACACACATGTACACAGTTTAACAGTTCTACATACTCATCTTCCAAATTAGTTAACCGTGTAAAGTTGAGGCGTCAAAAATTAAACTAAATTTATGGAAAACAAAAACAGCAGCCTTCAAGGTATGTTAGTTTTTTTACTAGAAAATGATTTTAAACTGTTTTAAAAAAATTTCAATTTATTATTAATTATTCTTTGAAATTATTTTTAAAAAAAAAGACTTTTCTGATGCTGATACAAAGCACTTTCTCATTGTAAGAAATAATCTAAGAGGGTTGTACAACAAAGTGTCAAACTTACTGTGATAAGTGAGATAAAGCCATTTGAGCTGTGACCACTTCTTTGGGTTTCACACAAAAGGATGTAGTGAACAATATGTTTTTTTAAATGAACTATTTTTTGCATTATTGCTTATTATTAATGTTTGAAATTAAAGAGTAAAAGTATTGTTGGGTAAAAAATAGTTACTATGGTCATTTATATAACATTTTAGTGAATTAATTTTGCCTTTTTCATAAATTTAGGAAAAATTCTTATACCTGCCCTTCAGCAACTGCGGTGACTTATATGGCCACTCTAAAAAAAACCTAAAAAAAACTCCTTTAACATTTTTTGTATTTTTTACTTTTTTCCTTGACCTAACCAATAATAAGCATTCTTATTCAAATTTACAAAAAAAAAATATTTAAAAAAATTCTTCAGCCGCTAGTGGGTTAAGAACTATTTAAAAAGAAAAAAATTTGCATTTTACATTTATGGACTTAAATTAAAAGAAAGAGTTACTAAGATTAAAAAATGTTAGATTTCAATATAATTATTTGATTTTTTTTAGAGGTTTGGTTGGTCCCTGGATGCAGGTTGATATATTGAGGATTATTTCAAAATTTAATAAAATTATCAACACAAACTCAAACATTCAAACTTCAATAAGGTAATGTTTTTAGTAAACATTTCAAGTAAACCTATCAAGTAAACAGTTAAAGTAAACAGTTATAGTAAACATTTCAAGTAAACAGTTCTAGTAAACATTTCAAGTAAACAGTTCAAGTAAACATTTCATGTAAACATTTCAAGTAAACAGTTAAAAGTAAACATTTCAAGTAAACATTTCAAGTAAACATTTAGAGTAAACATTTCAAGCAAACCTATCAAGTAAACATTTCAAGCAAACATTTCAAGTAAACATTTCAAGTAAACATTTCAAGTAAACATTTCAAGGAAACATTTCAAGTAAACATTTCAAGTAAACATTTCATGGAAACATTTCATGGAAACATTTCAAGTAAACATTTCAAGTAAACATTTCAAGCAAACATTTAGAGTAAACATTTCAAGCAAACCTATGAAGTAAACAGTTAAAGTAAACACATCAAGTAAACATTTCAAGTAAACATTTCATGTAAACATTTTAAGTAAACATTTCCGGTAAACATTTCGTGTAAACATTTCAAGTAAAAATTTCAAGTAAACATTTCAAAGAAACATTTCAAGTAAACATTTAGAGTAAACATTTCAAGCAAATCTATCAAGTAAACAGTTAAAGTAAACACTTCAAGTAAACATTTCAAGTAAACATTTCATGTAAACATTTTAAGTAAACATTTCAAGTAAACATTTCAAGTAAACATTTCAAGCAAACATTTCAAGCAAACATTTCAAGTAAACATTTCAAGTAAACATTTCAAGTATGGTATACAATGGTATGTACATTGTACCTGCCTTAATTGATTTCCCTTAGAGTAGGGGGAATGAGATTAGGGTGCCAGATTGAATCGGTGGGAGAATCAGCACCTGACTGAGACCCCTTCTTGGACGTCGGTCTGGGGATCCCACATTGGGGGTCTTTCACGATCTTTTTCATTTCATTTCATTTCAGTTTATACCCCTCTGTATTCTAGTTTATATCCCTTTGTATTTTAGTTTATATCCCTCTGTATTCTAGTTTATATCCCTCTGTATTCTAGTTTATACCCCTCTGTATTCTAGTTTTGATCCCTCTGTATTCTAGTTTATATCCCTTTGTATTTTAAATTATATCCCTCTGTATTCTAGTTTATATCCCTCTGTATTCTACTTTATATCCCCCTGTATTCTAGTTTATATCCCTCTGTATTCTAGTTTATATCCCTCTGTATTCTAGTTTATATCCCTTTGTATTCTAGTTTTATATCCCTCTGTATTCTAGTTTATATCCCTCTGTATTCTACTTTATATCCCCCTGTATTCTAGTTTATATCCCTCTGTATTCTAGTTTATATCCCTCTGTATTCTAGTTTATATCCCTTTGTATTCTAGTTTTTATCCCTCTGTATTCTATTTTATATCCCTTTGTATTTTAGTTTATATCCCTCTGTATTCCAGTTTTTATCCCTCTGTATTCTAGTTTATATCCCTCTGTATTCTAGTTTATATCCCTCTGCATTCTAGTTTATATCCCTCTGTATTCTAGTTTATATCCCTGTGTATTCTAGTAAAATTGTGGAGAAATATCTGGATGAAGAGTTTAGTAAAGAATTGATAAACCAGGTAAAAATTCCATTTTCTTGGAAATTGTTAATAGTTTCTTTTGTATTTTTAGTTTTGACTTTAAAGGGAGTGACCGGCTATATGTATGGTAGTTAAACTGAAAATGTAGTATTGTGGAGAAATTTTTTAGGATTCATTTGAGGCATATGAAACGTAATTATTAAATAACGACGACAAAAATATAACACACATTCTATAGTAAACTAATCAGTTGTTTAGAAATAGGTTGAAAAAACTAAAGATTAACTCTTCTCATCGAAAATAAGTAATCTGATTGTTATTCAGTTATAAGTTTCTATAATATGTCTCATTGTTCACAAAAATTTGTGTAGATTTTCTGGAATTTTCATTAAAAAGACGACATTTGAAGCAAACTAATTCATTAAGAATAAGAAATTCAATATAATGATGAAAAAGAAATAATTGATTCTAACATTGACTTATTGACAAATTTCTATTTAGAAATATGTTCCTAAACATCTGATTAGTTTACTCTGGAATTTTTTATACATTTTTCGTTGTCGTTATTTAATAATTTTAGTAAATCGATTCTCAAAATTTAACCACTCAAATGGATGAATTAAAACTTTTGTGTCTCAAATGAATCCTAAAAAAATTCTCCACAATACTACATTTTCATTTCAACTACCGACATTTACGGTCACTCCTTTTAAACACTTTAAAAATATAATTTTTGCCTGGGAAATCTTTAAATTGAATTGCTGAATTTCCCTGCAGGTTCTGCTAGCCCAGGCTATACTGCTGGTTAGCGCGCTAGACTCAACTCAACATTTTAGCACACGCGCACTCAAGCACGTTAGCAGGTTCCTTCAGAGTAAACAAAACCATGTCAAGCACACTGGACTCAGTCTTCTAGAAACTATCTTCAGGTATTTTTTCTATTTATTAATCGATCACCATTGTAAATTACTTTTTATCTCATGTTTTGACACGGATTTTATTTTTATACTTTTCAGTTTTGATTTTTTTGATGATTTTTTAGATTTCAAGATTACCCAAGAAAGAGTAGTATACAAACTCTTTATAAAAGCCCAGCTGAAGTGCCAAGCGTTGCCGTCAAATAAAATAAAAAATTCAAAAAAATTTTATTTAAAAAAATCGATTTTAGAAGAAAAAAATTATAATTTTGCTTGTATTTGTTACCCCCAGGATATCCGTGGGTTCCCTCTAAAAATGACAGCATATTTGGTTCTGCCGTTTGGCCAGCTACAGCTAATAATATAAATATGAGCGAAGAGCTTTATTATGAAGATTATTTTTCAGAAGAAACCCGCCTGAACTGACAGAAACCCAGGAGGCAAATGTTCTCTTCTGTTTAGGTTTTAACATTAATCAAAACCAAATAGATTTTCAAGTACAACAGGTGGCAACAGACAAATGGACAAATTATACACGATGACACAAGTGTCAAATATAACAAGGAAAACACAATTCTCTTACATTAGTTGACAGGTTTTCCAACATCAAATAAAAAAGTGTAAAAACAGAAACTAAAGAACTCATAAAATTGGACTTATTTTTCTATAAGAAAAGCACTTTATTCTAAAATTATTACTATTATAGATAATTATGTTGGACACAAAAACTGAGTTGACACTTGTGACGTAAGAATACATCTGTACTGAGAGTGTACAAATTCTACGTTGCCATCTATTGTACTTGACAATCTATTTGATCAAAAAAAATATTTAAGAAGTATAGAATTACGTAAAGATCTTTATTCATGTGATGACAGAAAATGGAGGAATATCTTCGTTCGGCAGAATTAAATTTATTCTTTAGCTTAAATTTATTCCAAAGCGTAAACTTTTAACTTGAAGGATTTATAATTCGGGAATGTCATGTTGGTTTTTTATGGCCTTACGGAACCTTGTCTGAAGTTGTTAAGAATTATTGCCCTTCACAGAACCTACCTTTACTGATTTCGGCCTTCGGCTTTTTTCATTTTGGTCGTTCATTGTTTGTCAACGACCCATTTTGTTCGTTTTTTTAGTAAAACTTATTCGTTCATTTTCCATCTATTTCGTTCGTCTTCTCACTGAACGATCGTTCAGTTAAATCGTTCGTAAACATCGTTCTTTTAGTAAAAAATTCATCTTTTAAAATTTTGTTCGCAAAAAAATTGTTTGTTTAGTAAAAATAACAATCATTTGTAGGAAAATTTGTTCGTTCAGTTAAAAACGAACGAGATCGTTCATTCGAACGATAAAGATCGTTCGAACGATTTGAAAGACAATCGTTTTTTCATTTTTCGTTTTATTCGGAACGACACCATCGTTCGTTCTAAAAATAATGTGCTAGTTCAAAAAAAAAGTCCATCTCCACCCCCTAGATGCTACACAATGTTAGGTGTGACATGTGGCAGAAAAGTTTACAGGACGATATTCCTGATGATAATTCTAGGATTTATTCTTAATTTGTTACTTCCGCCCTTAATGTTCAAACGTTTTTAATGGTTTATAATCAACTTAAATACCAGAAGAAAAAAAAGAATTAATTTTAATAAAGGGGTGGCCGACAAAATCAACTATTTCGTCAGATAATTGGCTGAGCGCGTTATGAAAATATTTAAAATTTAAAAGTTTTGACCTCTGTATTCTCTTTTGATTAATAGTTTTTTACTAGAGCATCCTGACCCTGCAATTCAGAACAAAACTTTTGACATTCTTATCCTCATAGGAACCAGAACTTTTTCATTTTTACCCTCATAGGAACCAGACCCTTTTCATTCTTATCCTCATAGGAACCAGAACCTTTTCATTCTTATATTTTTTAACATAAAAGTTAAGATGAGAATCGCAGCTGTATTTTGTAAGGGAAGGCGAAGAATATTTTTTGTTAGATATAATTAACATCAATTGAAGAACAGATTAAAGAATAAGATAAAATTTTAGGATTTCTACAATATTCAAAGTAGGTGATGCAACTCTACCCATTTTTGTTTGAATATGCATGCGAAAAAAATATAGAATTTCTTCTTTATAAATATTCCATTTCTCATAAAAATCAAATAGCTAACTGTTTCAAAAAAACAATTTTAATAATTTTTTTCCATCTAATATTTGCAATTTACCTAAAATATCAATTTTTAAGTTTGATGAGTTAGTTTTTTTAACAAACCTTGTGATGTATTTGGTTTTCCGTGGGTTGTTATCTTTTCTTACTAAAATAAATCAATTGATAAAATAAAAACCAACAGTTGATGTTTTCAAAATAAGATAATTTACAACAAATAAGCATACCTGCCGATAACTCTGCAAGCCATGAAGATTAGAACCAATTTATAAATTTTATCTCCATTATTGACAAATTGCTGGTGATTAGCGAACAGTGATAATCTGAAGAAGTTAGTGGAATCTGTGCTTAATTTTCTTAAACGGTCAAATAAAAACAATTCAGGTAACCTCCAGGGATTTTTACACATTTTTAGTATTTCCTATAATAACGAACAGATGAATACAGAAAAATAAGAAAATAGAAAAGAAGATCTTAAGTAGTGAGGAAAACAAGGGAAAAAAGAAACATCGGAAATCAAGTCAGGGGGAAATTGGAAGCAAAGAAATAAAGAATTCTATTGTTCCCCGTAAGTCTGCTCCCTTTTTTTACTCCATTAATTCAGTCCACCTGTTTCTCTATTCCATTACAACGAAGAACTACTAGAGGAGAGGAAAAGAGAACCTAGCCAACAGAGATTAAAAATAAAACCTTACCTTAATGAGGAAATAAAACTTGAATGTAAATGATTAGGACTAGATTAAATAAGTAGGAGAGAGAGTTGAACTACTCATCAGCTTAACCTGGCGCACAAGGGAAAAAGTTTAACGTGGCTCCGCGACTCTTTGGTATTCATTAACTTCAGTCTTAGATCTCTTCTTTCAGAGCCTAGAGCAGCAGTATATACTAAACTACAGAAGGATTCTAGTTTAGAGAACTCACAAGCATTCATAATTCGTCTTTATTCAGTTATTGACAAATATTCACAGGTAATTTCATAATCAAATTAGCAACAACAACAAAATCTATCAATATTATATTTTCAGGATTTGGATTGGAAAACTAGCTCAATTTTAAGGTGATTTTACTTTGATAAAATGTAGTTGTTGTTGTTTTTATCTATATATATCATAATTATCTTTATTAGATTATTAATTTTGCTATTGGTTTGTTATTTTATATGATTTTATTGTCATTTGTTTTGTATGGTTATTGCTTATTATTATTGCTTTAATTTTTATTGTCATTGTTTGTGTAACTGCCACTGTTTTAGTATTAGTAATACTGTTTAAGTCATTGGCATAGACACGATGACATCATGATTGGCACTGTCATCATCATTGTCATTGTCATTGTCATTTTCATCATCATTGTCATTGTCATTGTTTTTTTGAATTACCATTGGCATTGGCATTGGCGTTTTTATTGTCAGCATCATTGTCATCGGCCTTGCCATTGGCATTGGCATTGTTATTGTCATCATCATTGTCATTGACAGTGTTATTGTCCTCATCATTGTCATAGTCATTAGCATTGGCATTACCATTGTCATGTGATTGTTATTATTGTTCTTATTATTGTTATTATTTAGATTAGTTCAGTGTAGTAAAGGGGCTACAAAAGATATAATGGTTGAGAATTTGAAGTATATTCTCTCACCCCAAACCAAGATTATCCAGGTACTTTTATTATCGGTAATAATCAGAGTAATAGCTCGATCCATCAGCAACCCCCTTTAAATATAGATATGAACCTTAAAGAGGGGGGAGGGGGGGTCTTATTTGGATAACACATTTCATGGTGAGTATGATCCTGGTAATGCTGCTCATGCAAACTGATGTAGGTTGCCCAAACTGTTATTACAGTACCCCTACCTAGCTGTAAACTGATGTAGGTTGCCCAGACTGTTATTACAGTACCCCTACCTAACTGCAAACTGATGTAGGTTGCCCAGACTGTTATTACAGTACTAGGTTGCCCAGACTGTTATTACAGTACCCCTACCTAGCTGCAAACTGATGTAGGTTGCCCAGACTGTTATTACAGTACCCCTACCTAGCTGTAAAGTTTGAAGCTAACAAAATAACTTGTAGATAATACATTTTTTTGCGTTTCTAATATTACCAAAAAAAACGTATCACAAAAACTTAAAGAAATAGTGATATGCACTTCTTTTGTTGCTTTAAGAAAATCAAAAATGAGCAGAGCCATATGACCTTTTTTTAAATTGGCAAATTATTGAATTAATTTTGGGCCTGGAGATTTGCAGAAACCTAAAAATATTTTGAATAATTCTTTAATATTTATAATATTTAGGACTCTGACACCGAAAAAGAATTGGACAGTGTTAGGAAGAAGATTTCCAAACTATTGAATAATTTAGGTAATATGTTATTTAAGCATAAATTCATTATGGTTATGTTATATAAAAGATAGTTATGAAAATGACATTATTACTAATTTTGTGATACATTTTGTAAATATAAAAAAAAACTTATTATCGGGTAAATAAAGGATAACAATAACAATACTGATAACTATAATGAAAATTATAATAATAATGATACTGTTATTGATAAATTGGATAATAATAATGATACTGATATTGTTAACTATGATAATAATAATGATATTTATAACAATACATTGTTATACTGATATTGATAACTATGATACTTTTTTAAAAGAGATTTTTTTGTCCCCATGACATGATCGGGTTGTTACGATCAAATCTCGGAATTTTTTCTATTGCGAAAGTTTGGTGTTGTCTGGGTTTATATATTGATCTACCAGGGGTTGTAATCTGGCAGCACATTCATCCATCCACGCTTAATTTATACTGAGAGGGCTGACAAAAATCCAGCTGCCTAAGATTCTTCTTAGGCCTAGGAATATCGAGTGCAGGAATCTTTCTGATGTACTGGAATGAGGCCCGGGTGCCATACTGATAGGAAACATTGCTCCTTAACATCTGTAAGCCCGGATTGGATACCCCCAGGTACCTATAGCTGGCAACCATAGAGTCTCCCTGCTTTTCCACCTTTCCTCTCTTCATCATCATTCACTGGGATCAATTCACTTAAAGCTTCTTTCTTGTTGAGTAGAAAGCACGCACCCTTTCGCTGCGAGAGTTGTTGACAGCCGCCCCTCTGTCCTCCTACATCCGTCAGGTGGTCATAACTGCTAAACCAGATGTCGGCTTCAGGTGTTTTTGAAACCACAGGTTTGTCTGGAGTACGGGAATCGAACCCATGAACAACAGTCTGGACACCAATCCGGCTACTGGTCATGGACTTCCGTGATCTAACGAGAACTGGTGTCACACACTCTCCACCCCACCCCACTAAACACTCTCCAGTTCCACACCCCACTATGATACTAATAAGTGATATTGATAACTATGATAACAATAATTATACTAATATTGATAGCTATGATGATAATTATAATGTTGATATTATATATGATAATAATGATAATGTTTGTACAGTAAGGAGTGGAGTAAGGAATCCCGTAGTCCTGGAACTATTGGTTTGGACAAAGGCAGAGTTTGTACTCCAGGAAAATGTCCAGGTTTGTACTCCAGGATAATGTCCATATTTGTACTCCAGGATAGTGTACAGGTTTGTACTCCAGGATAGTGTACAGGTTTGTACTCCAGGATAGTGTACAGCTTTGTACTCCAGGATAATGTCCATATTTGTACTCCAGGATAGTGTACAGGTTTGTACTCCAGGATAGTGTACACTTTGTACTCCAGGATAATGTCCATGTTTGTACTCCAGGATATAGTGTACAGGTTTGTACTCCAGGACAATGTCCAGGTTTGTACTCCAGGATAATGTCCATGTTTGTACTTTAGGATAGTGTACAGGTTTGTACTTCAGGATAATGTCCATGTTTGTACTGCAGGATAGTGTTCAGATTTGTGCTCCAGGAAATTGCCCAGGTTTGTACTCCAGGAAAATATACAGGTTTGTACTCCAAGATAATGTCCAGGTTTGTACTTCAGGATAATGTCCAGGTTTGTACTCCAGGACAATGTCCAGGTTTGTACTCCAGGATAATGTCCATGTTTGTACTTTAGGATAGTGTACAGATTTGTACTTCAGGATAATGTCCATGTTTGTACTGCAGGATAGTGTACAGGTTTGTTCTCCAGGAAAATGTCCAGGTTTGTACTGCAGGATAATGTCCAGGTTTGTACTGCAGGATAATGTTCAGGTTTGTATTCCAGGATAATGTCCAAGTAACCTCTCAAAGAGCAACAATAAACAAATCGTATTTTGTTCTTAAAAAGTTTCAAATTGGTTAACTTTCTTTCTTTAATTCTGATTTTAATCTTTCTTTAATTCAACACTTATATAAAGAACCCATTTTTCGTAACTATCAATATTTAGAAAGCATAACCGGCATGCAACTTTATAAAATGGTGTCCTTTCCTTGCCAATCCCTCTGAGGTTAAACTATTTTTATTAAGGAAACTACAGACGTTATCCTTGGATATATCGGAGAACTGAGTTCTGACCCTGTGTTTGTGAGTCATGTAATTACTGCTGTTCTCAATATAAAGCTGAAGACAGGGATAATACTAGAGACAGGATACCAGTTCATTAATCAACAAATGTACTCGGAGGATAAAACTCTGAGGTACACTTTCAGCAACCTTTACTATTTTTATCAAAAAAGTTTTGGACGTAATTTTATGCGACCCTTTATTTTAATAATGGCATTTCTGATTCACAATAGTACCCTATAAAGGTTTATCTGATCAATAATGTGAAAGATATTGTCGTTTTTTCACTTCATGGAAAAACAACTATTAAAAGTTATCAATCTTATAAAGATGATGATGTATATGTGAATCGGACATGCCAATCTATAAATGAAGTCTTTAAAATACGTCTAAAATACCTTTAATCAGTATAACATTTGCAATGATAGTGTTATGCTTTACATTACAACCCACCTACCTATTTAAGATTGTTGTTTATTTTATTATCAAGAAATTTTATCACCTTAACAATTTAATATTTCCAGGACGAAAGCAAGAAGATGTGTTAAACTTATGGAAAGTTTGGATGCCGCAAACAATTCTGAAGTGTGCGTGGATGCCGCAAATCTTACCGAAGACGAGGATATAAATCTAGGAAAGCAAGGGATTCTTGAGTTGGGAAGACAAGATGGCGACAAGATGGATTTTACGCTGAGTTTCCTAGACGAATTAATTTATAAAGACATGTGTCAGGTAAAGCATAGTACCTGCACAGACGTAACTTTAAGTAACGGTACCATTTAAGCCTTTTTCTGATTAAACATGAATGAGATATCTATCCTTTATCAATCTGTAAATTCATTATTTTCAATCGTAGCTATACTTTGTAAGTGTTTTTCGGATTTATGCAGCAGATACAAAGAAGAAAATATTCAGAATTCAACACTTTATAATTATCTAAAGATGGACGACAATATAGTTATTGCTATGTTCAGATAAGGGTTTAAAGAGTACCGTTGTGAATCGGATATTCCACAAATAAAGTACCATTTAAAATGAAGTCCACAGTCCCTTCAACTTGCAGGCTAGTTCACCTGTACATTTGCTTCATTAAAAAAATAATTTTCCCAAAAGGCCAAATTCAGCGATATAAAACTTGAAAATCATATTTTTATGATTTCAGCAACTTTCTTTATTAATATTTAATCCTAGGGCGGATCCCCGTATCTTCCGTCATTATTTCGGACTCCGGAGATAAAACCTCCGATGGAAGAACGACCTCTGATAACCTCCTACTCTAAACTACGCCAGGATACAGTTGGATCAAATAGGTGAGACAGATATTTAATGTTTATTTAATTAATACGTAAGAATTCCCGGATTTAAGTAATCTTTAATTAACGTTTGTACACAGTTGATATTGAGTGATCTTAAAGTCTCAAATCGGGAATTACTGAAGTTTTAAACAGCATTTCACTTCTGATATAAATTCGGAGATCTGACACAGGAGTTTCGCCCTGTTATCTCTGGATAATAGACATGGATTAGAAGTATTATTGTATTCTAGAACCCTGAGTTCTAATTCTCCTACACCCCCTTCTTCTACTCCTCTACAAACCAATAGACTTTGGACAGCAGAGGGTAGACTACCAGATCTACCAGTAGAGGTTAGTGTAACTATAGATAGACAACCAGATCTACCAGTAGAGGTTAGTTTAACTATAGATAGACTACCAGATCCACCAGTAGAGGTTATTTTAACTATAGATAGACTACCAGATCTACCAGTAGAGGTTAGTTTAACTATAGGTAATATACCAGAGTACCAGATCTACCAGTAGAGGTTTGTTTAACTATAGATAGACTACCAGATCTACCAGTAGAGGTTAGTTCAACTATGGGTAATATACCAGAGTACCAGATCTACCAGTAGAGGTTTGTTTAACTAAAGGTAGACTACCAGATCCACCAGTAGAGGTTAGTTTAACTATAGATAGACTACCAGATCTACCAGTAGAGGTTAGTTTTAATATAGATAGACTACCAGATCTACCAGTAGAGGTTAGTTTTACTATAGATAGACTACCAGATCTACCAGTAGAGGTTAGTTTTACTATAGGTAGACTTCCAGATTCACCAGTAGAGGTTAGTTTAACTATAGGTAGACTTCGAGATCTACCACTAGAAGTTAGTTTAACTATAGGTAATATACCAGAGTACCAGATCTACCAGTAGAGGTTTGTTTAACTATAGGTAGACTACCAGATCTACTAGTAGAGGTTAGTTTAACTATAGATAGACTACCAGATTTACCAGTAGAGGTTAGTTTTACTATAGGTAGACTTCCAGATCCACCAGTAGAGGTTAGTTTTACTATAGGTAGACTTCCAGATTCACCTGTAGAGGTTAGATTAACTATAGGTAGACTTCCAGATCTACCACTAGAGGTTAGTTTAACTATAGGTAATATACCAGAGTACCAGATCTACCAGTAGAGGTTTGTTTAACTATAGGTAGACTACCAGATCTACCAGTAGAGGTTAGTTTAACTATAGATAGACTACCAGATCTACCAGTAGAGGTTAGTTTTACTTTAGGTAGACTTCCAGATTCACTAGTAGAGGTTAGTTTAACTATAGGTAGACTTCCAGATCCACCAGTATAGGTTAGTTTAACTATAGTTAGACTACCAGATCCACCCGTAGAGGTTAGTTTAACTATAGTTAGACTTCCAGATCCACCAGTAGAGGTTAGTTTAACTATAGGTAGACTTCCAGATCCACCCGTAGAGGTTAGTTTAACTTTTTGTAGTCGAAATATCTGGGGAGTTTTTTCCCTTAAAAGCAAATTATTGATAGTACTTACAACGTCTAAAAAGAACAGTATATATTTCCCGATTATAAATTATCTGTCGATCCTTGTACTTTTGATTGATTTGAATTATATTTCTCTAGTGAAGTGATAACTAGTAAACAACACAATTATTGTTGAATCTGTATTTTCAGGGTCTTCTATCCGGTGATGTGGGAGATCAATCTATAAACAAATCAACAGATGTAAAACTTAAAGAAGAGAAAGCTATAGATCCTCTCTATGAGGGCTGGTGACCACTCTGCTCTACAGTTTGTCTATTCCATATTGTATTTGTATAAAACGTACAATGTGCATGTTTTTCCTTTTTGATGCAAATGGGGCTCGGCAACTCAATCGGAAATGCTCAATGTTAACCCCCTTTATGGCCGGCCATAGGGTACAGCTGCATGTTCATTGTACGATGTACATTAAGGTGTCAATGCAGACCACAAATGCCCAATTTCAGAAAATTAGATCCTATCGCACTGTGCACTGTGAGCACTAGTCTAAAATTTTAGCTCAATATCTTAAGTACTAAAGGATCGCTTCTGAATTCTTCGTTTTTTTATGTAATTATTGTGGACCTAAAATTTTCAGGAATTACTCTCAGAATATACAGGGTGTCCCACGAAACATGCAGTTGATGAATAGTTTAAAATGTCTTCTTCCATATACTGTATTATATTTTAAAGGCGCTTTGTCATTTGTCCTACAATCATTTGTCCTACAGAGTGGGGGAAACATAATTTGTCCTTCATCATAGTCCTACACATAATTTGTCATTTAATTTCTTTTAATATTGTAAAAAATATGCTGTCATCTCACCTTATTTTGGGTTAGAACAATTTCTGGGCCGAGCTCTGTTGTTAGGATGGGCGAGGGGACTGAGCGCTGCGGCATCTTGAATGTTAAATAATATGTTGTCTCTCAACAAAGAAAATTGCCTGTTTGTCAAACTCTTTTACTGTCAGTAAATATATTCACCTGTTAAATATAAATAGAATGTAGCAGATATATATGTATTATGTATTGTATTTACATATTTTATGATGTGCAGGAAAAATTAATTTTTTGCCGATCTGTAGGACAAATTATGTTTCCCCCGCTCTGAAGGACAAATGACATAGCCCCTATTTTAAAGACCATTTTCAGTTTGTTTCGTCTGAAAAATCTTTTATTTAAGTATATTTTTACTTTGAAATCAATTTAACTATAATATGACTGCCATATAATATTTTTTATTATATTTTATATTTTTATTATGGAATTATGGAAGACATTTTAAACTATTTACCAACTTCATGTTTCGTGGGACACCCTGTAGTAGCATAATGGAAAAAAGATTTTTTAGATCTAGCGAAGCATTATTGGACACCTTATTTTACATTTTAACACACCCAATTCTATTAAACTAAATCTATTGGCTTCCGTGTGCCCTTTGGGCTTTGAGTTGCCAAAACTGTATACAAAATTGTGTACAAAACTGTATACAAAACTGTATACAAAACTGTTTACAAAACTGTTTACAAAACTGTATACAAAACTGTATACAAAACTGTTTACAAAACTGTTTACAAAATTGTTTACAAAACTGTATACTAAACTGTTTACAAAACTGTATACAAAACTGTTTACAAAACTGTAAACAAAATTGTATACAAAACTGTATACAAAACTGTATACAAAACTGTATACAAAACTGTACACAAAACTGTGTACAAAACTGTGTACAAAACTGTTTACAAAACTGTTTACAAAACTGTTTACAAAACTGTATACTAAATTGTGTACAAAACTGTGTACAAAACTGTGTACAAAACTGTGTACAAAACTGTGTACAAAACTGTATACAAAACTGTATACAAAACTGTATACAAAACTGTATACAAAACTGTATACAAGACTGTTTTAAAAACTGTATACAAAACTGTATACAAAACTGTGTACAAAACTGTGTACAAAACTGTATACAAAACTGTTTACAAAACTGTGTACAAAACTGTGTACAAAACTGTATACAAAACTGTATACAAAACTATTTACAAAACTGTGTACAAAACTGTGTACAAAACTGTATACAAAATAATGAACATTTGTTAGAAATTAATAGATGTTTCTTTTAATATTTTATGTTTATAAAAAAAAGTGTGCTTAACTATCCGGGACACAAGAGAAAATAAAAATGTATTAACTAAGATTTAAATTTGTATCACTTAACCCGTGTTTGTTAATACATTATACATTATATTATAAATTAGTTGCACTTGCACAAAATGTCATTGTTGTTATAGTAAAGATAATTACAAAATTAATAATATTGCTGAACTACATTTCTAAATTGAAGTCTATTTTTGATTGAGTAATATTATATTATTTGAAATGAGTAATTGAAAGTTCAAGTGAGTAAGTATAATTTGAAGTGAGTAAGTGTAATTTCAAGTGAGTAAGTGTAATTTCAAGAGAGTAAGTGTAATTTCAAGTGAGTAAGTGTAATTTCAAGTGAGTAAGTGTAGTTTGAAGTGAGTAAATGTGATTTCAAGTGATTAAGTGTAATTTGAAGTAAGTGTAATTTCAAGTGAGTAAGTGTAATTTAAAGAGAGTAAGTGTAATTTGAAGTGAGTAAGTGTAATTTGAAGTGAGTAAGTGTGATTTCAAATGAGTAAGTGTAATTTGAAGTGAGTAAGTGTAATTTCAAGTGAGTAAGTGTGATTTCAAGTGAGTAAGTGTAATTTGAAGTGACCCTCCATGTCAGGATGGATCGTTTTTATAAATTTAAAAAACGATCGTTTCTTTATGAAAACGATGAACAAAAAACGAAACGATCTTTTTTGAAAACTTTTTTTTTTAAATATAGTTTTGTAAAAACTTTAGTTTTTAAACGACGTTTTTATAAAGTTTGTCGTTTCGTTAACGATCACTAACGACGACCCTTCGTTTACAACAGTTAACATTAATATTTAACTTCTGCTTGATCAGACATTAATGTATTGTTGTGAATCTGTCCTTAACAATATTACTTTATAGGTCACTTAAAAAGAAGACAATATAAGCGAATAAGTCACACAATTAAAGACTTATTTCGAAATATATGTCCACGTAAACTGTCTACCATTGAATCAACTATAAGTTTAGCATCCCTCTCTTAGAAAATATTAACATAAAGAAGTTTATTCTTATCAAATAAATAAAAATATAACAAAAGTATATTTCTACGTTTAAATTAAGTTTAACATATCAATGGTATCCAATAAATTGATATTTTCTTTCACCGTTTTAATTAAAGTTTTTGGACTGCTGATAATTTGCAGTAATTTGAATATATCTTCTAAAACAATCGTCCAGAAAACTGATAGGTTGAAACTGATAGGTTGAAACTGATAGGTTGAAACTGATAGGTTGAAACTCCATAAAAACATTTATTTTAACATTCTTATACTAGGAATTAGGATCCTATTCCTTGTGAAATAAAAAAATAGAATTAGATTCTTCAAAATTCTACATGCTGCCTCCCTGAAACAATGCAGGGGGGGGTGCAAGGGGTCAGGTGCACCCCCCCTTTCTCCTATAAGGGGATGCAATGGCGAATATACAACCCCCCCCTTTTTTAAATAAGTTGTTTGTTATATCTTCCATTGAAAAATATAGATATTAGCATTTAAAGTTTCAGAACTTTTTATCATTCTGTATATATACAGATAGATATACATACTTCGTACATGCAATGTAACAAATATGTTCTGGTAGTAAAAAATTCACTTCTTTAAATTTTGCAGAAATTGCCTCCTTTTCATTATTTTGACCAGACAAAGAACGTGAGTTTAAATATCTAAATTATCAATATTTTCTGTTTGTTGTCAAATTTGACCTAAAAACTAAATTATTTAAATTTTCCTTGTACCGTCCATACAAAACATCAAATTAATTGAATTTTCACTGAAACATTAAACACGTCTAAGTTTTAATTACTAGTGTTGTTCACAAATTAGAAAATAACCTACATAACTAAAATTCAAGCTGAAATAACTAGTTTTTACCAAAATATTTTCGCATTTTTGCCAAAATAAAAATGCGAAATACGACCGAAAATTTTCGCGTTTTTTTCGCAAAACGTTACGATTTTACCGTGAAACTAAATTTTTGCTATTAAAGTGGACTCGCACAACTTAGAATCTCAAAACCAAGCTAAGAACATTTCCGTGGTTCTCCCAAGTTCCCCAATCAGAATTTGAGGCAAATCTGTACACGGGTTCCTGAGTTGTGATCAAACAAACAGACTTATAAACAGAGATTATACACCTTTATATATGGAGGAAGACCATAAATATCATTTTGGAACTAGACCCAAAAGCTCGACTAAGATTGCTGCTTCAGCAACTCACTGTGTGCTGGCAGAGTAGATTTACAGAACTCAACCCTTCACCCACTGCACAACACAGAATTGCGTTCTAAACTAATGTGGACCATGGCCTAAACCCTAGAAAAAAGGTACTTTTGAGATTGTGATTAAACTGCTCAGAGACTGGAGTTCAGAATAAAATCATCCGTCCATTCGTCAGTTGATCTGACATCGTCAGCTAAATAGATCAAGAGCACAAGTCTGAAGTACAATATACACATATTCTTGTACAGGGTGTCCCGCATCATATTAGACCGAGAACGGGTCTAAATTACGATTTTCGGGACTAATTAGAAAATTTCATTAGAATGAATCGTTTTGAAAAATAACATAAGGCTTATATAAGCATTTTCTTGCGGAAAAGTATAAGTTTTTCGAGTATTAAGGGTTTATTTTGGTGTTAAAGATTGGAGATAATCTAATATGATATGGGACGCTCTGTATGTATGAAAAATTTTAGTGTTTAGGCCCATTACAAAGGAAGTTTCTATAGACGTTGCCATAATGAGTTATAAAAAAGATGACATTTTTAGCCTTAATTATCTGCAAAGATTGCCAGAAAGAAAAAAGAAACAATTAGACATTGACATTTTTGTCTTAAAAGTTTTTGTCTTTCTTTGTCTATAAATTATGTTTAAATAAAGTATTTATGACATGTGATTGTGAACACTTATATTATTTGTAAAAACTTGCTGAATCCCCCTCACCTGGTTTTTACAGTTTTTACAAAGAGCATTTGTTTAACATTATTTATTTATGTATAGGACTACTTTCGTACTGGCATCATTATTCTCAGTTCTACATAGATATATAATGTTCTGCGATAAAAATATGTTGCTTGCTACTGATACTGATGCATTTTGCATTTAAAGTACAGAGCTGCACTGTACTCCATTTCCTCATCGTTCATTGGAGCATCAACATTCTTCTTCCAGAACTCCCAGCTTTTAGAATCAGTAAGTTCAGGACTTGGAATCAGATCATCATCTACGAGAGCTTTCCCATCTTGTGCATGCTTCTGAGGGGAGCTGGGAGTATCTATGATTGACCTTCTTTTTCTTTTTAAGTAGCCGTCGTAGCCTCTGCTGTGTGGAGCCATTGCTTTTCCAGTTCTTTGGTAGCCTCTGCTGTGCGGAGCCATTGCTTTCCCAGTTCTTTGGTAGCCTCTGCTGTGCGGAGCCATTGCTTTCCCAGTTCTTTGGTAGCCTCTGCTGTGCGGAGCCATTGCTTTTCCAGTTCTTTGTTCTTGATTCTCAGTTTCTCCAGAGTAGTCATGGACTTCTTTGTCCGGAAACTCAAACATAATGACATCTTTGTCCTTCCTCAAGTCAATTGCAATATCTTGAAGTCTGTTGATTATTTCATTTGATTTTTCATCCACAAGACAGGGACACACCTGGTCTAGATCGATCTCGGTGTTCTCAAGCTTCTTGTACCGTAGAGAGACCTTGTACCACATTTCTTGCATGTGTATAGCATGGGACATCTTCTCCAAGCTGGAGGTACTTTTCTCCATCAAAGAGTCAACATTGTCGCTGTTCATGAGAATGAAATCAAAGGCAGCGCCGGATGGGAACTTGTACACAGATGATCTGGAAGGCGCCTGCCACAAAATCTCCTGGTCCGAGGTCAGGTTTTGGTTCACAGTAGGAATGTCATTGTCCTCGGGAAAGTTAGGTTCAAAGAAGAACTGAATGTCCTGCAGGGTGATAGAGTGCAGGTTGTGTGCCACATGTTTAGGGAAGATTTCCAGGTTGACTCCTAGGTCCCTAGCAGCAGAGCAGGATCCTGATAGGTCCTTGTTGTTGTTGTTAGAGTCTGATGGGGCCTTTTGGGGTTTAGCTTCACAGTACATAAGAAGGCTCAGGATAAGTAAAGCCTTCATTCTGTGCGGATTTTGCACTTCACTGTAGGGCATCTAGAAATAGTAATGTTATAACCAGAAATACAAAACCAATAATACCCTCCTAACATCAGTGTCCCCGCAGTGTGATACCTACAGATTTCAATAAGCAAGGTATGTATTCCCTTTATATTGACAATTCCATCAAGTATTTATTTTTAAAAGTGAATTTAATAAAACAATCATCCATAAACTTAAAAAAAAGCCAAAATGAAAAAAAAATTATGATATAAACAGTGTTCATCCGAATGATGCATAATAAAAGAAAACATAAACTTAACTATCAACCTGACATTCTCAATATGAGCTCATTACAGTATTTACCATAAAGCTCTCTTCTTAAGATATGGATTAACCTGCCTCTTGACTTAAAAAGAAGCAACTCTCTAATTATATTTAAAAATAGACTACTAAACTCTCTTCTTGAAAATTACATTATACAATGTGTTATAACCCGAATTGTTATTCATGTAAATTAAATATGTTTTAATATGCTTTGATATTTGTTGTGTACATGTCAGAAAATTATTTTAAAAGTTATTCTAATAAATGAATAAACTATTTTGCATAGGATAAAATCGCACCCTGATCTCTAATAGTTATCCTCAACTCTATTTAATTGAAATATTTTGTTATCATTATTGAAGTTAGGTGGAAAAAATAATCAAAACAGCCAAGAGCCATTTTCCACCTAATTGCTTTCTACTTGTACTGTTAATATAATCATCAATTTGTAATTGTAAACTCGTTCTGTACACAGATACATGTATTTTAGCAATAAACTTTATCTATTTATCTATCTAATAATCTTTAAATAAACTACATGTTGAATTATCTATGTCTTTATCACCATGAATGTAAAATGTACATTTATACTGTTTATAAATGTAATGTAATTCTTTCTTGGAGCTTAGCAATTTAATAATTTGATTGATTGAGTACAAAACGCCCCCATTTATGTGAAAAAATACAGTAATGTTCGATTTTTTTTTCAAGAAAATTTGCAACTTTTCTGTTGAAATTCCTTAAAAGATCAGTTTTCTGGAGTCTCGCAGAAGCATGACAGGACAGCTCGCTTTATCTATTGATCTACTGCTTAGTAGGTGATTTTATCAATATAATGTATTGCGACTTTTAATTTTTATTTTTAACATGCTTAACTATTTTTAGTTCAGTTGAACAATAACCAGAAAATTGTGAAATGTGTGAATTATTTCAGGGTTAGGGTTAGTTAAAACAGTTTCGGACCAAGCGCTGCGGCTATGACAGGCTAGAGCGCCGATCTCTGCGGCTAGAACAGACTAGGAGGCCGAGCGCTGCGGCTATGACAGATTAGAGGGCCGAGCTCTACGTCTATGACAGGGTAGAGGGCCGAGCGCTGCGGCTATGACAGGCTAGGAGGCCGAGCGCTGCGGCTATGACAGATTAGAGGGCCGAGCTCTACGTCTATGACAGGGTAGAGGGCCGAGCGCTGCGGCTATGACAGGCTAAGGGGCCGAGCGCTGCGGCTATGACAGGCTAGGGGGCCGAGCGCTGCGGCTTGAAGTTCAAATACATTTCATTTAAACTTTTATTTCAAAGAGAATACTTGGCGTCGTTATAGCGCCTTCAGTGTTCAAGTTACATCTAAGAGTTCTAAAAATATTTTTTCTTGTCTGCAGCGTGCTTCACTGGAGAAATGACTGTTGGCATAGGAAACTTTTAAGAAAAATATCATAACAATGAAACTGTCTTAAAACAGCCAAACCTTGAAATAGTTCACACACACCTTTTAAGTCCCAAATTTTTTAGAAATTTGTTTAATTCGACTTTTTTAGGATTTTTATCGTTTTTCGGTCCTTGGGCTTTTTTATTTTCGGTCTTTTGTTGCATTGGGAGTTTTGTAACATGGGGCGTTTTGTTTTTGGGAGATCTGTACCCACTCCAATCTGATGATATATATATATAGGTAGGATCACAATGTAAAATAATGTCACAATTTCATTCGGCGACAACCGTATCTCATTTCTTCAGGTTTTAATGACTAATTTAAATCTGTGATATTTTTCAAGAAAAAGGGTCCAAAAACCACTTAGAACAAACGGTTTTCAACCTACAGGGCTACCCAAAAAGGGATAGAAATTAAATGATGACATTTTAAACTTTTCTCCATGATTTAATCAAAAATACCCGACTGTAACCGCCTAAAAGACTAAAAAACCTTGCGTCTAATTGTCTAGTAATCTTTAAAGGTAAATTATTTACAATTACAACGCAAGTAAGCGGCTGAAAAAAGCGAAATGTGTGATTTGCGGTCGTCCTTTTATTCCTATTCTTTTTGGATTACCCTGTAACTCAGTGATTTAACTGGATTTTTAAAAATTACACGGGATTAGAGATCTCTGACCAAATATGGATGAAATTAGGTATGGTCATTTTTCAAAAAAAAGTTTTTGCCTTATTAAAACTCTTATAAACTTTAATTGTGATTGTCTTATAAAATGTCTGAACTAAAAAATGCCTAGAATTGCCTACTCAATGACAATCCTTTTAAAGCTGTAAATAATTCCTGTTAAAGCTAAAATAAGTATGCTATAATCCTACAGGGTTTCCCAAAAAGGATCGGAGTTTGAATACAATATTTTGAGTCATATTTAATTCATATATTGTCCAATAATTCAAATACTAAGCCATCTAAAACAATTTATTTAGCATATTTTTATACTGAAAAAAACTTAGATTAGATACAGTGAAACCCTTAATAACAAATACATCGGAAGAATTTCTAAAATGTCGTCTTGACAATTTTTCAATGAGTTTTATACTATATTACGTAAATTTTAGTATTTGCAAAAATAAAAAAATAGACATGAATATGCGGGAACAGTTTTAAAGAGCTCCATATAATCATTAATTAAAAAACTAAATATCTGCAACATTCCATTATCTGAAAGTGAAGAATACGACATCTGATGAATTCTTTCGATGTATTCGTTATTAAGGGTTTCACTGTATGAAAAAGTTTGTTGTTGTTGTTGGCTTCCTAGCCTTTTTGAGCAGCTAATTAAATCTAGAAAGACGACTCACCTGGGGATTGTAGAATGGTACAGAACAGATAAGTGGCAGAATAGAACTAACCATATTGCAGTGAAAACATTAGTTTTATAACCCGTTGTAAAATTGGAAATCCCACTTCTCATGGTATATTTTTAGATTTTAGGGCCATAAATGATTCAAGGTGTGTCAATGTTGGAATCAATAAATTTCAAAGTTAGAGAAAGGTGAGAATCTATCAAAAAAATGTTTGACTTTTTTTAAAATATAATTTTCAAATCCTTATTGTAGCTTCTGTTATTGTTCGCGTAAATTGAAGTTTGAATCTCGTCTTCTTTGCCAAAATAATCAAATCTGAGCTGGGAACTTTAGAATGGGATACCATTAATCCCGACTGCTTAATCCGGATATCCAATGTGGACACTTTTAATTTATTGCTTAATCCACTCTTTTTTGAAAATAGAACAGAAAAATCAAAAACCGGTTGTTTAAAGTTAAGAGTGCTTCCCGTTTCTGTATATTAATCTTAAATGTCGCGTAAAATTTCAAATTTATCGGCTTCTAATACGCGACTCTGATTGCTTGAATTTTATACACTTTTCAGGATACAAGTACAAGATTAAGTTAGTCTCGAGATTAAGAAAAAGAGAGGATCAAGCTTTAATCTCAATATCCACCATTCTAAAGTTCCCAGCTCTGGTACTTTAAATACCATAACAATTGAACCAAACTGAATGAATAGTACACTGGAAAGCGATTAATACAATGAAGACGACTTTTTTATTCAAGTTTTGATTGTTAACAAGCTTTTTTCGAAATACAAGTTTAGAGTTAATCAAAGAGAAGCATTTTTAGTTGACAGCTTCTCTTGATTTCTATGTTTATGTGTATCCATGCCGTTTAACAGATTGAAATAAATCAAAATTAAAATCGAAAGTCGTCGTCTTCGTATTATTATAATCGCCTGAAGCTATATTTGAGCAAATTTCCATTTAAACTAGTGTTCATTTGAACTAATGTTCAGTACTAATGTTCAGTTCAGGACTAATTTCTCATATCTATTTTGACATACAGGGACAGGGTGTCCAACGAAACGTGCTTGTAACTGTTAATTTTAAATCAAGATTATCAGAGGATTAATGTTTCGATAAACTTTTTAAAGACAAGATTTATTTGTTTATTTATTTAATGTACGAAGTTTAAGAATTTTTTAAAATCAGAATTCATACCTGGTGTCCCTCGAAACATTACAGTTGGTGTCTTCTTCCATAACTTTAAAAGGATAGGTTGTTTGATACTAAAGACACTAATGACATTTTTTTTATGTGACAGTTATATTATAGTATATTTGACTTCACAGTAAAATGTATACGAGTTAAACATTTTTTTAAAGAAATAAACTTCAAAAAGGCTTAAATATCTAATACAGTATGTGGAAGAAGACAATCAAAATTATTCACCGACTGTCATGTTTAGTTGGACACCCTGTATATTGCCTATTTTACATGCGACTCCTATTGCCACATATTTAGGGGGATTGAATGATAAATAAACTATACTCATGCTAAAAGTCTTGTATTGCACCTGTTTTATGGCAAAACCTGTCAATTATAAAATGTGATATCCAGAGAAAAGAGTATTAGTTTGTAAACTTTTATATTGTTTAAAATAATTTAAATTTAGTCAAATTTTTTCCTAAATGGACTATAACTGTTCAATCAGGCTAAAATATCATACTTTCTGTCAGAAATACGAGAATAAAAGTTTACGATGTCAACTAAGAAAAAATTTATTTTCTTCAAAAGACCGCTTCATTGCAGCCAAATCGTACGATTAATAAAGCCAGGTAGATTTAAGGCTAGATTAACTACCGTGCGTTTCATCAGAGGTGTATATCGTGACATTAACGTTAATTTGTCTATAGCAGGATAAGTTGATTGATTTTTTATTCTAAAGAAAGTGTTTTAAAAATATTATTTTTAAATTTAAAAAAACATTTCTCTTAAGATTTTTGGAAAAAAACATAATTTTCTAAATTTTGCAAAAAAATATTTAAAGTTAACAAAGATCACCTTTGATTTGCCAAACTAATTTGTGGAAACCAATGTGCATGCGCATAAAATGGATGAAAAGGGGTAGATAATTGCTTATTGAGAGCTTCAACTGTTTCAGGGTAGATTTAGGATATATAATCCAGCCTCTATTAAGGGTGGATTTATAACTGATGAAATAAGTCTAAAACGTAGGGTAAACCTAGGATTTATTAATCGTAGGTTTATCCTATGATTAAGATACTCGTCTGACGAAGCCTAGCTATAGATTCTTAACATTAAAAGTTTTTAGTACAAAACTTTGAACTTCTGTATTGTTTAACAAAAAATTATCAAATTTTGGCTACTTTTCCTTAACAAAAAATTAAAAAAAGAAGAACAATTTAGAAGTAAGAGCTTCGTTTTTTTTCATTAGGACTTTAATGCACACCTATCTCTAAACTTTTTTTGAATTTACAAAAAATTGACACTCCTTAAATTAAATATATATGAGCTGAACCTAGAGTTTCCATCATAAAAAAATTCCGTTTCTGCCGGAAAATCTAGAAAGTATTCTTTTTTCTTTCTTTCAAATAATAATACAAATATGTATTGCAGAAGTTTATTTCCACGTTTAAATTAAGTTTATTAACCATTTGAATCCAATACATAGCCATTTTTCTTCCTTCGATTTTAACAAGGCTTGTCTTCAGATGATACGCAGTAACTGATCATCCAATTACGTGCAATTTTCTGCCCTCAAAGTGTTCCTCCGATTATATACCGTATTTTTCCTCCAAGCTCGTTTTCTTGACCTCCAAATATAAGCTGAAATGCAAATAAATATCCTGGTAACTCAAACTGTGATATGGGAATTACAGCAAATCCCAGAACGAGTTACTCGAATATTTACCGCGGCTAGGAGCTGATGGTTCGATGAAAGACTAGAACGACTATCCAGCGAGTGTCAAATCTAGTCACTAAATGTATACAGGGACTAGTCTAACACAAGCAGATAGTCGTCTAAATTTTGTTCATTTCCCGCCAGAATTCATAGTGACTATTTATAGAAACCCCCTCCCGGCACCGAGGGGGGGGGGGAGGAGGCGGGCATCTTTGGAATGTTGAGATATTAATAGAATAAAGGTTTTACAATGCTAAACCCAGAGAGGCCCACGGTTATATAATTCTCTTTTACACATTTATAAATTTAAGCAGAGTTTATCCACAAACACAAAGACTAAATCCACAGCAGAAAACAGATTTTCATTGTTTAAGTCGTTATATGGTAGTAATTTTTGTGGGTAACACTACATATATCAATCAGAATGTTACTTATATCGATCAGGATGTTACAAATATCGATCAAGATGTTACATATATCAATCAGAATGTTACGTATATCGATCAGGATGTTACATATATCGATCAGAAGTTACATACATCTATCAGAATGTTACATATATTGATCAGGGTGATGGGTACGGGGTGTTACTTATATCTCTGCTGATGATTTAAGACTGAATTTTCGATGAATTCCACCTGGTGACAGATATATAAAACTTTGCCAACTAGGATAGAATTCAGCCAAAAATAAAATAAATTCCTCTTCAGCGTTCACGAGTTTCATCCTGGGATAAGTTTAACATAGCATATATCATATTTAAAAACTAATTTAGAACTTAAGAATAATATCTCTGCATTGGGATGAGCCGTAATACCCAGTGAGTTGAGTAAAACACCCACAAGAGCATACGACCCGACCCAACACAAATACCAACTCTAAACATGAGGGATACAAACTACAAAATTTGAACACTGAAAGTTAAGTTATGATAATAAATTCAAAATCATGACTGGGAAAATAGAAACCAACTCAAAAATGGACACACAATATCATTTGACCACTGGATTCAAACAAATTGATATTAAAACTGGATACTAAATTTTATATTTATGATGAAGGAAACCGGTTTTTTGGATGAATAAACACCTAAGTAAGGAGATGAATGACACCCGGTGATACAGATTACCAAAATGCCATTCACCGAGTCACCTAGGACAAAACTTAATCAAGAGATGGTCTTGATAAGATACAGAGAAGGTCAGATGGTTTTGAGGAGATCCAGAGACGGTCTTGAGAATATCCAGTGAAGGTCTTGAAAAAGATGGCCGGACGACTGTTCTCTTCTAATGCCGAAACTAAACTGGAGCAGTGAGGACAGATTTAGAATTTACCCTTTCACTGGCCGGTCAGTGGGGTCAGTCCATTGGAATAGGGGCCCAGGGGCCTCTTTGGGTAGAAGGGGGTTAAGGGTACCCAGGACAGTTGGTGTCACGGGG